AATCACAGAGGGGGCAACATGCTTTCAAGACAAGATATTCTGAAACAGGTAATATTGTTTAAAATAGAATAAAGGAGTGAACTTGTGGACTTCCTACGTCTAAAAAGAGAGGCTTATAAAGGATGGAAGACAGGAAACACCACAAAGGAGTATTCTGCACCAGTCTGCACCTTCAGGGAGTAAACCAGGAAAGCCAAGGCTGCAACCAAACTCCAGCTGGCTACATGTATCAAGGACAATAAAAAAGTCCTTTTCCAGCTATGTGGGGAGTCGGAAGAAAAGCAAGGGTAACACTGGACCCCTGCTAAACCAAATGGGACAACTGACACCCAGGAAAAAGCCAACCTGCTTAATGGGTACTGTGTGTCAGTTTTTCACCAGCCCAAAGGGACCACCCTGCCTAACATGATGTGGGACAGCCAGGATGAGGGTGAATTTATACCCAGCATCAGTGTAGACCTTGTAAAGGAACACCTTGAGAGGCTGGACACCTTCAAGTCAGCTGGTCCCGACAGCTTGCACCCCAGAGTACTTAAGCTGGCAGGCATCATAGCCACTGGAAGGATATTTGAGCACTTGTGGCACTCAGGTGAAGTATCCAAAGATTGGAAGAAGGCCAATGTGGTGCCCATCTTCAAGAAAGAAAGGAAAGTAGATCCAGGGAACTACAGGCCAATCAGCTTGACCTCAATCCCTGGAAAGATTTTGGACAAAATTATTAAAGAGACCATTCTAGACAAGCTGGCTGATGGCAACATCCTGAGGGACAGCCAGCACGGGTTTTTTGTGGGTAGGTCTTGCCTGACCAATCTCATTTCTTTCTATGACCAGATCACATACCACCTGGACAAGGTTGACGTTATGTGAGATTGACATCATATATCCGGACTTTAAAAAAGCCTTTGATTTGGTGTCCCATGATCTCCTCACAGAAAAATTGGCCATCTGGGGCTGTGGCTACATCACAGTCAGCTGGGGAATTGGCTCCGAAGTTGGACCCAGAGAATGGTAGTTGATGGAAGTGAATCATCATGGCGCTCTATGACCAGTGGTGTCCCCCAAAGCTCTGTCCTTGGACCCATACTCTTCAATGTCTTTATTAACAATGTGGACACTGGTGTCAGAAGCAGACTGGCCAAGTTCACCAATGACACCAACCTTGGGGGTAGAGCGTCCACACCCAAGGATAGGCTGGTGATCCAGGCTGACCTTGATAAGCTTAGAAAGTGGGTGGATAAAAACCTGATGACATTCAATACGGATAAATGCAAGGTACTCCACCAGAAAAAAACCCCCATGCATCACACTTATAGGCTCAGCAGTGCTATGCTTGCTAGCACCACGGCCAAAAGGGACTTGGGGGTCATGATTGACCACAAGATGAACATAAGCCACCAATGCAATGTCACAGCTGGTAAAGTGAATAAAATCCTGGCTTGCATGCATAGATGCTTCTCAAGCAAATCTCAAGATGTCATCCTCCCACTGTATTTAGCCACACATGATTCATAGATATTAGGGTCAGGACGGACCTCAGTAGGTCATCAAGTCCAACCCCCTGCCCTGGGCAGGAAAGAGCACTGGGGTCAGATGGCCCCAGCTAGGTGCTTGTCCGGTTGCCTTTTGAAGACCCCTAAGATAGGGGAAAGCACCACCTCCCTTGGAAGCCCATTCCAGATTCTGGCAACCTTACTGTGAAGAATATACACATGATCTGAGGGCAAGAGAACAGGCCTGATGAAGAGAGGCCGAGAGCCATAGGACTCTTCAGCCTGGAAAGGTGCAGGCTCCTGGGTGACCCGGTGGCTGCCTATTCGTATATAAGGGGTGTGCATCAGGATCTGGGGGAATGCCTGTTCACCAGAGCACCCCAAGGGATGACAAGGTCCAACTGTCATATACTCCTCCAAGACTGTTTTAGGCTGGACATAAGGAAAAACGTCTTTACTGTCTGAACCCCCAAGGCATGGAATAAACGTTTGGACGCATATTTTGCTTGGATTCTTTGACCTTAGCTGACTTCCTGTCCCTGGGACGGGGACTGGACTCGATCTGCTGAAGTCCCTTCCAGCCCTAATGTCTATGAAATCTATGAAAATTAGCATTTATAAAAAGGAGCATATACTGGGCATTCATGGTGAAACATTTATTTTTCCACTTGTTTGGGGATTAAGTGCAAGTCATGTTGACATGAATTTCTAAAAAAAATAAGTATGATATTTATTACATGTAAGTATATGACAATGATAGAACAGTTTTATACATTGTTTTTACCATTCCAATTCACAGAAATTTTCAGCTCATCTAAGTCACTTAAGTAACAATGGGTTGTTATTGTAGCAATGAGAGCAATATTCCATTTGGTCCAAATGAAACCATTTTCTGTTTTTAAAGCCTTTAGTCAGCAGCCTTCTAAACACTTATCTCAAAAGAGAGATGACACACCCCTGAGACTGAGACCTTTTTTCTACCTTAACAAGATTCACGTGGCTTTAAGGTCAGTGTCTCTCTGCTCCTATTTAACAGAATTTATTGGAATTATAATTGTTTAAAGCATTTTCCCTTACTCTCATAAAACAGTGTATGAAGTCAAATTTGCTATTTTTGTGGTACGCTGTTAATTCTTATTGATGCCTGTTTAACTTCGTTGCAACTAAAATACCTATTTGGCATTAGAGACTATAGTTTGAATTTATAAGCCTCAAATTCATTCACAATATTTGAAAATCTGCAGAAGTGATTTTCCTTAAAGCAATATAGCAATGTAATTTGATGGAGCCAGGCAGGCTAAGTGGACCATGGTTGCGTTTCATCTTACTGAACACTAGTTGTACGTCAACTATTTTGGCCAACAAAATATGACAACATTTAGAAATTTAATGTGATTTCAGGAATTGTCAGTGGAATCCAATAAGCTTGTTTCTTATGTAGTTGTAAGCTTGAATTACCCACAAGCAGGCATACCAGTGCAAATAATGAAGTCTCGTATTACTCATTAACTGATAGCTACCAGCTTTAACTGATGAATTAATACGTTCAAAGTGCACGTTCATTGAGCATTATGCACTGCATACAAGCACAAGTTCTAAGCAGTACAATGTATTCAGCAGCTCAATTCCCTTTATTATAAAGATATCTACAGAAGTGACACAAGCTCCCTATCCTGTAATATCAGCTGTATCCTAATTACTAATTATAAAGAGTAAAAACAATTTATTTTAAGTGTAAACAAAACAGGAAATCAGCTTGACAGTATGGTGATGCACATTGGGACTGAAAGTGTAAATTTTGCCTTTAAAGCAGCACTGAAAATCAGAAAGCTTCAAAACTGCCTTAAAGTTAGACTTTACAAGATTCAAGGTAGATTAACCAAAAGAAATCTTAAAAGTAACTAAACTTCAAACTCTGAGCTTTGTTATTTCCAATGGAAAATTAAACATATCCATCCTACTTTGCATCAAATGGTACCATTGTTTAAAAGGCTCATTAAAAAGGCAGACCTCACTGAGAGAAACAAGCCCATTCACTGAATGGATACAATGAAATAATGGAAGATGCTTAAACTACTGCTTTAGTGTAAATACTAGTTTAATGAATACTCACTTAGCTAAGGCCCAACTAATTACTGAGGCTTTCCGTGTAAGGAGACTCTTCAGTTGATAGCATAAATGGTTTTGATAAGGTCCAGTTAGACTACCCAATACAGAGAAGTCAGCAGTTTGCCTGCATGTCACTGTACCAACAAAATACAACTTCCTTTGCTAAGATGGGAGCACTTACGGCGTTTATACACACATATTTGCTCCAATATGCCAGAAATCCAGTGCGTCAGAGCAGACTCTATTAATAGAGTTGAACACATCAAATGTGTTTTTCGAACTAAAACACATCAAATGTTTTAGTTCAAAAGCACGCTGCTGCCATTTTCTCAGCGCTGATGTGCATTTTGCTGTTTATACAAATGTATGCGTTGCAGCAAAGTGCTGCTGCACAAGCATGTGTACAAATGCCTCTGTTGCTCATAGTACAGCATGCAGGATTACTGCTATTTGTAAATATGAGGACAACATCCTGTTCTACAAAGTCACAGTGAGATGCACTAAATATAGCATTTTCTTATCGGCTCTCCGTATCTAAGTTTGTGAATAAACTATGTTGTCTTCAAGAATTATTTTAAATGAGGATTCGCTATTTTCTGGTAATGCTAGTCCACATTAAAGTTAATCATGTGTACAAATCGCATGTACAACTGCTAAGGGCTTATTCCTATTTTTCATCCAAAAGTCAGAAACTTATTTTGTATGAGAAGTTAAATGAGTGCCTAAGGAACTCTGCTATATGGAAATCAGTTGCTGCATATCTGCATGTTCAAATCATTAAAAAATAAATTATTTTTCAATTAGTATATATGTACAGTAAACTACCAGTAAACTAATGTGTTATATCCTGCATCTCTGGAGAATGTCTTCTAGAAATATAAAAATAGAAAACCACTTTAGATTGAGGGGTAGGAAAGAAACACTACTACTCCATCCTGTGAACACTTGCACACATAACTTCAAGCATGCAAATACTAAATTTCAGCTTCTCTCATACTGAGGAGGTCTGTCAAATTTCAGCCTTGAACAGAAGTTATCGAGTTTTCAGTCCTGAAAATAGTGGTTATGATGACTGACTATAAGTACAGGTATACAAATAGCAATTTTGTGTCCTAAAGGTTCTTAAGTACTTTTTACACAGTGAAACAAGGCAAAAACTGAAGTTACAAACTAATTTTGTTTTAAAAATGTAAAACTTTAGACTACCAGCATCATTTAAAATTGTCCATGTTAAAAAGTTTGAAAAATCCCTCACATCTACTTCTATCATAAATCCTGAAATATTAAGATGTGCCCCATTATTTACAATAGTCATTCCTTTCCTTACCAAATCCTGCTTACCTTACAAGACAAGACAGGTACAATTTCGCCCCATGTACATATCCATACATCAATTAAATGCACTTGTTAAAAATAAAGGCCTTTATTGAACAGGGTATGTAAGAAATGCTGTGGTGAAACACTTTTGTTGCAATAGCAGAGAGGATTGAGTACCTTGATGCACATCTCATTGCCAGCAATGGGAGATGCCATAACAGCCTGCCAAAAAATCCAGGTACTTCATAGGAAGTCAATATGTTAATATACAACAGAAACGTTCTAATTTAGTGTTTATGAAAAATTATCACCCTCCCACTTACACACTTCTCTTGCCCACATATGGTAGGACAAAAGTACGTCAGCTCTCATGCTCAAGATCTTAAAATTAAACATTTTAAATTTATATGAATTCATAGAATGAAATATTCATCCTCCAAAATAAAGAAGGCCAAGTCATTTGCACTCTACTACAGCTATTTAGAAACTATTACAATTCCAAATTTCTTAAAGTAGAATATTTGCATTTACTGCTGACAGACCTTTGTTAGAGAAATCCTAAAGATTAAAATGATACAATACCATACAAAAACATGTAAACAAAATGGATATTTAAAAAAAAAATGCATGCTCTTGGAGAATGGAAAATGTATGTTTTTGGTAAATAAAAGCTATCATGTGTAACTTTTTATTAAAGCACCTCAATGATTTAGGAGCTTAACTACCATTAACTTCCCATTAGATTTAGGCTCCTACATGTCTAAATGACTTCTGAAATATGGGACTTAAACACTTCTGAAAATGTTATCCCTTACCCCTGATCTTACATATTAGATTTAATCAGCAATATAAATCTGAGTCTATTAATTGGATTTAATGATCAGCTCCAATTTGCTGGATCTAAATTTCTTACTAGAGCCTAGTATTTTATTGAAACTGTTCCTCAAGTTCAACAAGTCTCAGAGCTGATGCTGCCAGCAATCTATTTCTGAACTGAAGCACAAGTGAAATTATTTAAGGGCTTCCGACTGAATATGTGAGAATCAGAGACCCTTGCTGTTTATCCAGCTAAGACTAAGAAAAACAAAAACTTTACCAAAATATCTGTAGTACAGCATCAGTTAAGAAGAAAAAATGTTTTGGCACCACACATTTTTTTTAATTGAAGCTTTCAGGCCCAAAGTATAGTGTGTTAAATCTAAACAGTACTACTTTGGAAAGCCTCATTTGAAATGCACATTTATAAAAGAACCGAAAGTTAGTTTTAAGGGTGCTCGTTAAGAAAATTACCTGGTCCCCTACAACTCATCAGATACTGTTTCCCCTCTGTTTAGCTCAAACATTTTGTACCTATATGCACACCTTAGTTAACATTCATACATTATACAATTATATTGCACAGAAAAAAAACTGCCAAAACCCTATCGGTATAGTCTGACATAGGAAGCATATCTCCTCCTTGCACCTCATTTTATTTTTAAGGGTACTGGTTAATCAACAGTCTTCTAACAAATGTGCTGGTAAATTTAGTTGGAAAGAAGCTACTTTACCTTGGGCCACAATATTACGGTCTGTACCAATACTTGTAAGCATTATGTTTATATTTTAGTGTGCTTTATAATTCAGCAACACCTATCACATAGCTTTGTACATCATTCCTTCAAACAGGAAAAGCTTATCTAATTTAAAGAGGTGCACAGGGGCAACAATGGTTCTATTTTTTTGCCACCAGGGGTCTCACTCGACTTACTGAAGAAACATTGCAACCACAATTTATTTAAATCCACCATCTATCAAGGATCCTGTAGGTGCAAAGTTCACTGATAAAAAACCACTATAGCTGGCTGTATTCCTTATTTAATTGCACAGCTTCATCCCATGAACTGTCATTCTTTTCCTCATCCACAGTGGTTCTAAGGTATGCTGCAGTTGCTAAAAGGACTTCGGTTTTTCTTCGTCCTCTGTTTGTTTGGTCTAAGGTTGATGACATCTCCACCATTAAGTGTGCTAGTATTCTGGCCAGAGTGACTTCCGCCAGCTGTGTTAAAAACACCTATACAATTTCAAGACAAAAAAATACTTTGAATCTCTTTATATCTTTGCAGTACAACATAATGAACTTTAAGCCAAAACATTTACTAATGCTAGTAATACATCTCAAATTCAATTGTAATTCTTGAATAGTTTCTGTTTATTCCAGTGTGTTCACCTGCTGCTAGAGTTCAATATGCTAAGTTTCTGTATTAGAGCCAGTTGAAGTTAAATAGATGCCATTGCAAGGTTTAATACACACTGAGATGCTACTCACATCACAAGGCTATGCTTAGTTGAGTAACACAAACATGACAGATTTTTTTAAATTAGAAAATTTGTTGAAATAAATAGAGGAAAAACAGTACATAAAAAGAAGTGCTTTAAGAAAGAAAAAAAAAAATCAACTGACTCAGGAGTGCTTTGAAGAGCAACAGAAGTTCAGTGTTTCCTCGCAAAATACAAAGTCCTTCTCATTAAATACCAGATCTTTTCACTGTTACTATCCTGTACATCTGCACCAGCATGACTCATACTAATTACATTAAAAAAAGCAGGCATCAAGGAAACATCCATTTTCAAGTCCTTACACAATGTATGTTCATAGGAATTAGATTAAAAGGATAATTAAAGTAATACTAACTAACATCTCTGGTACATTAGTTTGACTATCATAAATCATAATGGGATCATGAAGTAATTTAATAAAGAATTATAGGGACTATGTTAAGAAAATGACAATTAGTGATTCAATTTGCATTTACTCAGTGTTGGATCAAAACCTCCCAGTAATTAATAGGAGGCTCTTTCAACAGAAAATACAGTCTAGCCAGTTTATTGCAAACTTACCAATTTTGTTACTGCTTGTATGTACTAGTTCTGGATCTTCAGTTGTTTGTTGTTTGAGCCTCTGAAGATATTTTTCAGCCAAATATTTAAAAACTGAAATGCCAAAGAGAGCCATGTCAGGGTACAAAGTGAGGGATCTCCACACAGATACCTATGAAAGTTTCATCTCAAGTTCAGACCATCAACTCTAGTATTACAAATTTGGGTTGATAACAAATCTGAGCTCTATAAACAGCTGATTTGACACAAAGCACAGCAGTATGCATTTGTAGTAAGTAATGTGTTTACTAAAGTACACATGAAGTGGATTTTTAAACTTAGGTTGTTTTTCTTCTAGCAAGTTTGCTTTCTAATGTGAGAGGAAGTGTATTTCTTGATCTTTCCTAGTGATAAGAACATAGAACCACAAGGGGCCACTAAACCCTGTCCCAGAAACAACAGGGAACCATTTATCTAGATTCCTAGAAACTGCTCACTTCAAACTCTCACATACAAGGTACAAGTATGCATGAACACCTTGCAGGAGGCCACAGGTAAAAGCAGAGGAGGCTAAGGCAGTCCCAGTGTCCTGGCACTGCAATGGAAGAGAAGCTATTGGTTAATGTATGCTCATACGACATTAGGGAGAGGACCACATCCTACAATACAGAGAAATGCAAAATCCATATAGATCCTTGGCAGCCTGACCTGGGAAAAAATCCTTTCCTAATCCCATATTCAGCATTCAGTTTGATTTTGAGAGGAAAAACCAGACCCTCTATCTAGGAATCCCTAAGTACTGACAGAAGCACAAGTATACCCCAGTCAAAATCCACATCCTTACCTGTGGTTAATGTCCAGTGCTTCAGAGGAAGACGACTCCCTCCACCCCAAAGAAAATCCCAAACCAAGAAGAAAAAAAAACCCCACAACAACAAAAAAAAACCAAAACAAAATCACAGAAATCAATAATCTGCCTGGCAACTGACTCCCCAGCCCAGCCCAGCCCAGCCCCTGGCTTGTTTACTTTTCATTCCATCCAGGAAGAGCGCACACCAACTGCTGAAGGTTCCTTAGCCTGACGAAGGGTTTTTGAACCCGAAAGCTTGCTTAATAACTATTCTCCAACTATTTGGGTTGGTCTAATAAAAGATATCAAATTCACCCAAGGAACCTTGTCTGCCTATGTCCTTAGACCAACATGGCTACAACCTAAACCCCTGCAGAAATCAATAAAGCATTCGTGAAAGTGGAAAAAATTCTTCTTGGTCCCTGCAAGTGACCAGCAAAAGCCCTGAAGCATATGATTGTCAGGTACCTACCACACTGCAAAACAATTACCTTTATACCCTAATAAGGGGAATGCAAATACTTGATCTTACATATCACACAAACTGAGGGTTGAACTAAGAACTTCCTATTCTACCATACCATTCCTTCCATAAACTTATTGAGTTCATTCTTAAAAAGCAATTATTTGCTTGGAAGACCATTCCCAAATCTCACCCCTCAAATAAATGCAAGTCTTCTGATTTTCAATCTAAATTTGTTCATAGCCAGTTAGTAGTCATTTGATATTGTGCTGGTGTTGCTTTTTAGCCTAAAACGCTCTTCTCCATCTTTAACATTCATTCTACATAAGGTTTTTTCTTAACCCTCCCCCCACCTTCTCATTTACAGTCTAGAGGTTTAAGGGGTCCAAATCAGTTAAACACCTTTGAAAATGTTATTCCTACCCTTGTGTAGAAGAAAAAAAAATGAGAGAAAAAAAGCATATAATTATCTCAAATGATATTAGTCAAGTTTAAGAAGTCACCCCTACTATGTTGACAGTCCTGATTCTGGAAAATACAGCCAAACTGAAACCCTGTAAAAATCAAACGCTGATAGTTTAGTTCCCATGTTACGTTGATGTGCAATTCTATTCTATACAACAGAGGACAGTCCTACTCTTGCCACATCTCTTACCTTCAGTTACATTTAGATCCTCTTTCACTGATGCTCGGTAGAATCTTAACTTTAACTTTTTTGCCAATGCCTCTGCCTCTTCACTGCATAAAAGAAAGCCTTGTAAATGCCAATTTGTAACATGTATCAATGCTACTGACAGTATCCTTTAAAGTAGCCAAAAAAAAGGTATAAGAACATTGAAACAGTGAAAAGGCATTTGATCTTTGTTTCACATTTTTCCTTTAGCAATGAGATGTTTTGTATGATTTTCCTGTTAAGGTAGAAGTTTGCTTATTTTGATTCTGTATAAAAATACCTCAGAGGACAGCAAGATGGATATTAGAAAAGGCAGAGGAAAAGTGGTTACCACTGCACAATACAGGATATTAGGAGAACCTGAATAAGAATTAGCACATCATGGAGGGAGAGTTAAGGCAATTCTTAGGCATGTTTTAGCAGAGTAGAGAACGGGAACACCAGACTTAAGGGAAACAAAGAACTAAAGAAAAGGAATCTGAGATGATAGTTGATGGTATGTATAGTGAGTTTACAGGTGAAAGGGAAAAGACATAGGGTACCTGCTGAAGAAGGATGGCTTTTTAGAAGAAAAGGGGTGAACATGTTTGAAAAGGAAAATGAAAGAAAGATAGAAAAGAAAGTATTAGCAGTATAATGATTAAGCATGGACAGTGGCATAACAAGCAGGGTTTGCACTCTGGGCAAACTGTATGGGACAGCTGGTGGGTGGGAGGGGGTCTGTGGTTCCAAGAACTGGGGGGTGGGCAGGAGCGTGGAGGTGTCTTGCCCAAAACAGCTGCTGCTGCTGCTACAGGCTCTCCCCACCCCAGTTCTTATTTTTAAAGAAGCAGCATTGAAGTGTCCATACTTCAGCTGTGGCTGCAAGAACAATGCTGTGGGGCTGCTCTTGCTGGCAGGACAAAGACTCCATGGGGGTGGGGGAAGATTCTGATGCCTGTCCTAAGTTGGTGCTCAAGGCTAGCACCTCTCTTGCCCACCTCTAGTTACACTACTGAGCAAAGAGGTATGAACAGGTGTGGAGGAAGTAAATGCTGTGAGGGACTGAGTCAGGATTTCAGAGTCTGATTACCACAAGAATGAGCCTAGCTTGAGGGACAGAGATCAACAGAATATAAAGTGACAATGGATTCTACAGGGGAAAGAGCAGGGAACAGGGACTGAAGAAACAGAGTTTGTGTTTGTGGACAGTAATGTATTATAAATATTTTACAATACAGAATTGGATTCTGATAAAACATGAGCATAAAGAACAATTACAAAAATGGAAGAGAATTAAAAAGAAGGCCAATAAATGTATTTTCTTGCACACAACACGCCCCAGAATGTAATATACATCTGTTTTTTGAAAGGCAGAATGAAGAAAAGATTCTTCCAGCATTATGACTGTATAGAGCAGGAATAGAACCTAATATGCACTGACTGCACTCACCTTCCCTTTCCTGCTTAACCAGCTGAATACCTAGTTGCTGCTGAAGCCTGTTCTTCATGGGTAGTTCTATGATTTTGGAAAGGGCTAAAGAGTTTTCAGAGCTATGAAACAGCAAGGAAGTGGACAGGGGCAGCTAGCAGACAGAAAACTTGCTCTAAGAAAGTTTAGGTTGCTTAGTGGAACATCAAGACCATTAAAGAGGAGAGATGATCATTAATACCTCTAGAGTGAAGAACAGTGAGTCATTAAGTCAACTGGCTCCCTCAGCTACCTGAAGAGTAATGCAACACTTGCTCACTGTGGAGAAGAAATCAAAACAGGGTGCTTCTGCTTCTATCCCAGTCAGAAAATTAGCTTCTCTGCTTAGTACATGCAACCCAATTTTGGGAGGGCTGATATTTGAGAAAAAGGGGTGTGTTGTATGCAAGAACATATTGTACATAGGTACTAGGGCTGTACGAAGCTTTGGGCGCCAATTCGATTTGGAGGAGAATCGGCCCAATTCAGCAGCCGAATCTCCAAATTGAATCAGGACACCCATTAATCTCTCCGAATTGAATCAGAAGACTGACGATTTGACAATTCAGACATAGACAAAGCTTTATAAGTTTTTTCTACATACCTCAAGGTACCAGGTGGTTCGTGAACACAGAGATGGTGGAACGGATGGAGCATCCTATGGGAACGCAGCGGGGTCCCCAGCATGCTCTGTGGATTGGAAGTGGACTAGAAGTCCTGGAAGTGGACTAGAAGCACTTCCAGGTCCAGAAGCGGAGTGCATGGGGGACCCCTCCCCCCCAGCTTGGTGACTGGTGCCTCCTGGGTCGGGGGAGGGGGGAACCTGGGGTCTCCCCGTGGCCGATTGCCAAGCTGGGGTGGCACGGGGATCCCTGTGTGCTCAGCAGTGGACTCAAAAGTGGACCGGAAGTACTTCCAGGCCAGCCACTGAGCACATGGGGGCCCCCCCCACCCTCACTCCTGTGGGATGCTCCATCTGCCCCACTATCTCAGCATTCATGAGCCGCACCTGGTACCTTGAGATATGTAGAAAAAACATATAAAGCTGCGTCTATAGCTAAATCACTGAGTCTCCGAGTCAGAATTGAACCTTCAGGTTCAGATTCGGCTGAACTGAATCAGGACAGTGATCCAAATCAGCGAACTGAATCACTATCCCCCGAATCGGGCCGAATCCGAATCAGAACTGAATATGGCCCGCTTTGCACACTCCTAATAAGCACATCTGTTTAACCACTTAAACACTTGGTAGTGAAACTAGATTATATAATCTGGTTGGTCTAAAACCAAGATTGTAATATCTGGACCACAGAGAGAGTCCTTTCACAGTTTCCTGCCCACAAAATAAGGTTGTCATGTGACCCAACCAGATTATTTACAAGGCTCCACATACATTTACACACATAAGTAACTTTACTCATGGAAGTGGCACAATGTTTGTGCATAGGATTATTATGTGTTACTTCTGCATAGGATTATTTGTACATATTTTCAGATTTAGGCACTTGGTTTGGAACTTTAGTTAATATAAGTTTAAATTAATATAATTCCAAGTTTTCACTATAGATTCCCATTCTAGAAGTAAGTATACAAAAGAGACTTTACTGCTTTCAAACAACAACATGGTGAAACTCCTACTTCTTTATACAAGAATCATCCAGAAGATCAATCTTATTTTGTACAAGCACTGTGGGGATGTCTCCAACTTCAGTCACCACTTTTTCCTTCCAGATGGGGATTGCTTCAAAAGACTCTCTATCAGTGGTCGAGAACACAAGAACACAAGCCTGGGCTCCTAAGAACAGACAAGGCAATTATACAACTAATGGACAGGAATAAAAACAAGCCTATGAAAAGGTATTTGGAAAATGGAGATTTTTCTCTTTATTCCAGAAGGGCAAAAACTTTAATTATTGGATTGTGTCAAACTGACAGGGAGCACCAAAAGGGAGACTAACTGGAGGTTTTGTGTAGTCATTCCTGTCAGTTTTCAAGGTAATTGCTATTCTGATACCTTCTAAGCTACTCCAGCAGTCAGAGAAAAAAGGGGTCTTAGGTGATGTTCACTAGTACAGGACCACCATTCAGATAGTGAATGCAAATAAGTACCTACATAGTCTTTAATATCTTTACAAGTGTTTCACATTGTCACTTAGCAATCTGCTTTTGGGATCATAAATTTTAATTTACGAATTTGGGTGAAATTATTCAGTAGAAATCTGGTTTGGAGAGCTTGGAAGAAATTTTGGTTCAAAATTAACACTTTCAGCCTTTCTTAAATTTCAGAGTTAATATTTTAAACACTCTTCAGAATAATTATTCAAATTCTAATTCACATTTACTCTATCAGGATGCTGTAGGGGAATATTTACTAACTTTTGAGCACAGTGCCAGGTATACTGTTGCTACTGTGGTGATAAAATCTCATCTGAGTCTTGTCTGGGATCCCAATGCCATCAGCAAAAAGCCTTCTTAACGCTGAGCAAAAATATGTACACACTTAATGATTCATGTCCCATGGAAACAACAGACCTTCTAGGTCGAGTCCAGTCTCCTATCATAGCCATCATACTATATCATTCCTTTCAAAAATATATCAAGCTTCATTTTAAAAGCAGTTGGATGTTTTGCACCCTCCACTACTGGAAGGCTGGAAAACCTGTACTAATAATTATGAACTCTGGTCATTGTGCTAATAATTATAAACTCTGGTCTAACTTCTAGCCTAAATTTATTCATGATCAGTTTAAACCTATTTGTTCTCATGCCAACATTGCCTTGTAAGATCAGATTATTTTCTCCAATGCACACTGCTTTGCATTTGCCAAGTTAGAACTTTACCTGCCGTCTTGTTACCCATCCATCTATCTTACATCTTTCTGGAGTTCAGGAGTTCTACATAGCAGGCACATCCCCCTGGGAGCCTTACCATGCCCAGTTTTGGGTTCAAAAACCTCCATGACTCCAGCTTCTTTTAAGGTATCTTCATCTCCTGATCTAATTCTCAGAAGACCCCATCCCTATTTCCTTTCAAGTATAACAGAAGAGAACTGATCTGTAACAGCAGATTTTAAAGAGGGTTTCTAGATTGTGCTGGCCCAAGCTATGAAAAGAAGGATGGCTTGTGATCTCTAGCTGCCCTCCATATTTTAGGTATATGTTGCACATCACATCTAAACATGAATATTTCACTTGCTCATTTGAAAACAGCTGTGTTTTGGAGCTTACTGAGGAAATGCATGGTACTGGCACTTGAAGTCTTTTAATCAAGACAGTAATGTACCATTTCCCATTCCAGGGGACAACAATGGTTGAAAGTTTTCCATTGGTAAGAAGTATACCTGCAGGTTGAATGAGAGATTTTATATACATATGTAATTTACTAGTCTCACGTCTCAGTAGAAGCTTTTAGGCAGTTTGGCTGTAAGAAATGCCTGTAAAAGCTTGATAAGGCTTCATTTTCACTATTTAAGAAAGGAGACACCAATTAATAAATTCTCTCTTATTTAGCTATAAACACTGCCAGAAGATCTTTCTTCTGAAGCTGGTATTTTTCTTACCAGAGTACAGTCAAAATCGCTAAGGCAGATATAGTCCTTACTCATGCAAATGAGTAAGGCACATTAAGTACCACTCATTTCCCCTCATCTGAAAATAAGAAATAGTATAGCAACCAAACCAGTTTTGCATAGCCATTAAAAAACCTGTATCCCTACTACTCAAATAATAAGAAAACTTAAAGATTAAGTAAACTACATTGTTTTTCTCTTATTATCTATAAAAAGTATAGACCAAATTATAAAGTTGTACTTACCTCTATAATAGGCCTTTGTTATAGCATCAAACTCCTCTTGACCTGCTGTGTCCCACAACATCAGCCTCACATCTTCATCATTAACTCTGAAATAAAAGGTATAAATGTTTTATCAATACACTGGAGAGAGATGCTCCAAATTTAATTTTTCATTGTTAATATGTGCACTCCACTGAGTTTGGACAAAGTCAATGAAGTAAGCACTGTCGCACACCTCCCTGTCTAGTGCAATGCTACAATAATCTAGTACAACGTCATGGTGCTTAATTTCCACTTTTACAGAAAATATCTGAAGAGTGAAAACAAGTTACAAAAGGAATTCCAATCAGGGCTTATAAATCCTTCTCCCTAGAAGGCATAAAAACATTACTAAAAGAAAAATCTGACATTGCTCTGTTAACGTTTTTTTTAATCAACTTAACATATTTTCCTCATACACAACACACAACCCCCCTCACCCCCCCAAAGTCTCCTCCAAATGGGGTGCATATATTAAGCAGGAAAGCTAGTTTTCTGATTAGGATAGAAGCACCCTGCTTAAGGTTCCTGCTTCGCAATGCAGCAGCTGTTACGTTACTCTTCAGACAGCTGAGAGAGCCAGTTGATTTAATGATCCATTGTTCTTCACTCAAGAGGTATCAATGATTGTCTCTCTGTTTTAATGCCTAACCTTTCTTAGGGCAAATTTGCTATCTGCTAACTGTTTCTGATTGCTCTTTTCCTGTTTCACAGCTCTGACAATTCTTTAGCTCTCTGCAAAATCACAGATCCATCCATGAAAACCAGTCTTCAGCAACAGACAGGTTTACAGCTGTAGTTACATAGGAAAGGGAGGGTAAGCAAGCTGAAGATAAGGTTCTATCCCAGCAATATGCAGCCATAACTCTGGACAAATCTTTTTATCTTTATTCTGCCTTTCAAAAACCAGGTGTGCGTTATATCCTGGGGTATGTTATATACAAGAAGATACGGGAATTATCTTAATGTTTTTCTCTCTGTTAAATATGATAAAATGTCATCTGTTTGCACAATAGTGTAACAGCCAGAAAATGTAGTATAATGACTTTTTTAGTACATGCTGTAGTTTGTTTTAGAATAATTATCATGTAGGAGTACTTTTGAGTTTCCTTTTCTATTAGATTTGCAACTATAAATTTGGCTCTTAGGTAAAAAAACAAAATTATTCAATTAATAAATTAGCCTAATTTTTAGCTTTCTAAGCAAGAATGCAAAATAGAATGCCTTAGGTTTAGTCCGAGAAACACTAAACCTTGAGATCTAGAGCTTCATAAACCTATAGCTTCAAAACAGCAATGAAAAAAGGAAAAAGAAATAATACAACATCTATTTAATACATACTGAATTTGTCTCTCCAAGAAATCTACTCCAATGGTTTTCTTGTAGTCTTTTGTAAAAATTCCTTTGCAATATCTTTGAATCATACTGGATTTCCCAACTGCTCCATTTCCTACTACCACCACCTTGATGGCCACCTCCATGTCCTCCTCCAACATCTTTGCAACCGAGAAGATTCTTTAGGTACCTCAGGATCTTGAATTTTATGTCCCAGTTCTGTAATGGAAGTAAATGTTATATTTGAAAAAAATTATTGTGAATAAAAAAGCAATGAGGATAGTTTTGTGGCTTGGTACTAGACTGGGATTCACAAGATCTTGCTTCAGTTTCCAGGTGTCACAAGTTGCTTGTGTGACCTTTGGCAAGTCATTAAATCTCTCTCACTTGACTATTAAATTTAGAAGATTATTTCTAAAAATCATACATACACCTTATATTGTTTATTGGTAAATCATTTGAATAGCAAATCTTTTCTAGGACATGGACAATCACTACCTTTCAGCTTCCAATCTGTTAAATCAGAACAAAAATAATTCTTTTGTCTATCTATTTAGACTGTGAATTTGTTAGGGTAAGGATATAGTCACACAGGGCTGACCACAATGGGCTCCTATCTCTGGGTATTTAGAAGCAAACATGATAAAAATAATATATGGCAGTAATAACAAGGCATCACTTTGCATCCTCTACTTTTGCAAAAGAGGGCAAGGTGGCACCTTGAAAACTAACTGATTTAGAAAGGCATTTGTTTTCTTGCACACACTACAGCTTATATCATCAGATATGATGATGCTTTCATTGCATCTAAACAAGTATCAACTGTAGCCTAGGAAAGCTTATGCCTTCCTAAACCAGCTAGTCTTTAAGATGCCACCCTGCCCTGCCTTCTGCCTGACTTCAAACCAACATGGCTACCCAACCCTCTCTATTTTTGCAAAAGAAAACAAAAGTTTAGTATTAGTTCCACTCTAGCATTTCACAACTGTGAAAAATAGAACTAATGTATGTTGCTATGGTTACCTGTGCCATAAGCTGCTTATGAAACTAGATTCACTTTAAGTCTTGAACAACTTGACGTACATCCTAGCTGGCAAATGTACACCCTATATTGTATTGCTTTTGAATCCTAGAAATACACATCTGAAATACATAGTCAAATACATTTAAGTTATTGGTGCTTGTTTATTTTCAAAGACTTAATTTTTTTTGTCTTCTTGTGGCAGAATTCTTCCTCCAAGTTAAGGGCTGCCTATAATGAGTTCAAACTCCTTCATTTCACAGGGAAAAAATTATCTTAGCAGATTGTGTAAACAGGAAAATTTTGCATTTTGGTTACAAGAGATGTTTTTAGCTCTTATGGTTGATATTCCACCAAGTCCCGTAGTTGATGTCCCACCAAGCATCCACTGAAATCATACCCGTGTCACTTATCTAAATAAAAAACAGGAACAGAACCTAATTCTACATGCATTTCTTTTACCTCTGTTGACAGTATTTGGATACCAGTTCTTTGGAAAACATCTGACTACTTAATTCATAAGCTTTATTGAGTCTATAACCATACAGCTTATAAATTGATTCCTGCGTGAAGGGCATTTTCCCCCCAGGAAGTAAACTATCATCATCTTTGCAAGAAGCTGGGTACTGAAACTGTTTACTTATCTTTCAACATGTTACTTAGGTCCTTAAACTTCCTTAAAAGCACTAGGCAGTCTAAAAGGTATGACATTTGTTGGGAGTTAAAAATGTCTTTGAACCATAGCAACTGTAAACCCAGGCTTCTCAAACTTGCTTAGTACAACATCCATGCTCCATTTGGATCACTTGAGATACATATTTGCATACAAAATAATATAGAAAAGTTACTATATGCAATTGGTTATCATACATGTGTCACACCAAGCAGAATTTTCTATCAAATGTTTTTGTAACGTTATAACGCTAATTCTCAATCGCTTTCATGCTCTCTTAATTTTAGGAGACTGCATTACTTTATACATATACAAACATATACAGGCATCCCACATCTTACGCACATTTAACTTGCGCAAATTCAACTATATGCGGGGGGGGGGCCTAGAGTCTGCACACAGCGCTGCCGCTGACCTGGAGGCTCCGTCACTACCACGCTGCCAGGGGGGGCCGCCCCCCCCTCCAAAACCTCCCGCCGCCGCCATGGAGCCATGCCCGGAGCTATGTGGCCAGCCACCGGGCATGTTGGTGGCTGGGCAGCACGCAGCCATCCCCACCACCACCCCACGCTGCGCCGCTGCCTCACAGCTCTAAGCACAGCTCCGTGGCAGCAGCGGGAGGTTTTGGAGGCAGAGGCAGTCACCGCTGGCACGGTAACATGCGATTTCACTACACGCGATATTCGCCTTTACGCACTTTTAGAACGTAACCCCCGCATAAGATGCGGGATGCCTGTATGTAGGTATATAAAAAAAGCTTCAAGCCAGACTTGAACTTAACAAATATTAATTACGTCCCCAAACTTTAAATAAGTGAAGGGGGCAAGTGAATAAGTAATAACTGCTCAACCTCCACCCCGTGGGCCAAATGCAGCCTGCAGAGCAATTGAATCTGGCCTGTGGGCTCCCCATGGGTTGGGAAATTTGGCAGCAAGGGAGTGGTGGCCGTTCATATGGCCGCCCTGCCAAATTCCCAAACCCCAGGTCCCACGGCCGGGTTGGAGCCAGGCCACATCCTCTTCCACCCAGGAGCCAGGCTAGGGCCAGACTGGGTCCCTTTCCCCCTGGTTGGGGCCAAATCACACTCCCTTCTCCCCTGCAGGACTGGGTCAAGCCCCCTTGCTCCTGTGGGGCCGGGTCGGCGCTCAGCCATACCCCCTCCACATCCCCCCCAGCCAGGTTATGGCCTCCCCCAAACCGCAGGGGGCTCCGTGAAGCCCGCTCCCTGCCCCCTCCCCGGGGCTGGACGTGCCCGCTGCGCCGCCTCCCGGGGCCGGGTCAGAACCCCCCGCCCGGCTCGTCTGGCCCCGCAAG